CAACAAGCCAAGAAGGTTAGATTGAATGTACATTTGACTTATTAATGATTAGTTTTTTTGCGCCTTAATGTTTCACATGCAACAAGTTATACATGGCAGGATAGAAATTTTCCCCAGCTTTTACTTATTTGCTATCCCATATAAAAGGCACTAAAGCAGTATTCTGTTGATCAAACACAACTTATTTCTTGATTGTAATGCGATGGAATCACTCTAGGCGATTTCCTATCTTCTTTTGCATCTTTGATTGCCTTAAATGGTAGATTCTATTTATTTAACCTACAACATCTTTCTGTCGCCCTCCCCTGCGCCCAGGTAAAAGAGTGAAAAAGAATGATCAGAATTGCTCATATATCATGAGCCAGCTTGTATAATTTAGGAAATGTTGCAAGTACCTAAACAATGGGGAAAGTTTATGATTGCTGTGGAAGTTCCTGTCATCAGAGCCTCAAAAATCTTCCTTTTTGGTAAAAAGACATCGTAAAAATAAATTAGAATAAAGACATTAAAAAAAATGATCAGCACTTTCCCCTTATGGCAAACACACAATTGTGCATCTTAAAGAAGGGTCAGATTTGTGATTTGTCTTGCTGTCACAACCATATCTTGTTGCGCTAGATATTCTCCTTCAATGTGTTGATCATGCTATCCTTGTTCACTCATCCAACCTTTTAGCTCTCTAACCCACTTTCATAAATATCACATGTTTTTATTTAATAAATCAGGATCCATTTGGGTCCTTTGAATAAAAAATAAAAGATTTAGTAGTTCTGACCTTCTTCACCCTTTTGTTTGTGATGAAGTCCCACTCTAGTTTTGTTAGTTGTACTCCAGGTCCATTATGCGAACGACACCAGATAAATACAAGCAGATAGTTCAACTGTTTATATTTGGGAAGTGCTCCCAAGGTCCAAGGATGTGGACTTGTGGTCAATAAAGTGGGTGCAAACCTTGTAGATCAGGGTCTCCTAATCCCATAGAGACAAAAAAAACTTGTTATTTCGTTCCTTATGTTTGAACCCTAGTGATAAGAATCGGGTTACTTGAATAAACAAGAAAACAATGCGAAAGCGAAAATACTAAGATTAATGACAAGAAATTAGAGCGAAATTTGAGAATAAAATCCCCAAATTCAAAGTAGTTCTAAGAATCCTAATTGATCTTAGTGTTTAGAAATTAGCAGATTAAAGCTAATTTATGATACTAATAGAGTCAATTCAAGAACTTAGATCAAATAGTGATCTAGACCTCTATTTCGAAGAAATTAGAGACAATAATTAGTATATGACTGATTACCTTCTTTAATTTACGAATAAGAGCCAAAGATATCAAGTTAAAGAATTAATCTTACCTCTTAAAGAATTGTTCTTAAAAGGTTGTAATCCCCAATAGCCATACACAAAGGTGTAAACTGTAAAGTAGAGAAATTCTCAATTAACAATGTTGTCTATACAAAAATAATAAAATCTACCCCTATATATTGGGGAAAAACTATCCCAAATAGAATTGGATTAGAATCTACTTTTATGGAAATAATAAACAAAATCTAACTAGGAAACTTTAAGCTAGGAAAGCATATAAAAATTATACCAAAAATTCTTCCCCAAAGAAATAAGGAAAAGTTTCCAAATTTGACCAAAACATGTGGACCCTTCCCAAGTCACTTTTATGCGACTCTTTCCCCCCTTTTGGGTGAGGATTTTGCTCATTCTTTTGGGGAGAAATTTCAGCCGCATGTGGGCTTCAATCTTCTTCCATTTGGGCTTGGACTTGAACCATAAAATATGCATAGCACTCAGTCCATTCTTTCTCACTATTCTTGGGCTTTTCTTCCATGATAAACATCTTCTTGATTTCCCATTGAAACCCTACAATCTTGGCTTGCAACTCCTTAGCTTGAGACCTTGACGATTGTCTTCTTAGGGCTTCTACAACATCATCCTTGTCCATGGAGCTATCACCTGGTGCTCAGAGTTATCAGGTATGTGCTGGTGGAAGGTAGTAGGAGCCTAGTGAGATGCATGCAAGCTGGCATGGATACAATTGTTGGCCAAAAGAATTGTATTTAGGAAATTTCTATATTCATTGATATGCTTGGGACGTTTTGGTGCATCACCGCATCTTCTTTGATTTATTTATTTATTTTTCCAAATGCTTCTTTTATCACATTTACTACAATTTGACTTGTATGGTTGTTGGGGTTGTCTTTGTGGTGACTTCATATGTTAAGTTTTTTGTATGACCTTACAGCTCTTAACATGGTTTCCTAAACCAGAAGAATTCTCATCTAGTCAAAATATCCTTGAAAAATATTTGATTGCAGATCGATGAAGAAATTCTTCAAGAGGTGGTTAAGATGGGATTTGACAGGAACAACCTTACTGAGTCTCTTCGCAATAGAGTTCAAAATGAGGTAAATTTTCGTTATCAGCCATCTACTTTTTTCCTGGATTGCCCTTTTCCCTCAATTTTAGTTGTATTTCAGGGCACTGTTGCGTACTATCTGCTCCTGGACAATCGCCATCGTGTTTCCACTGGCTATCTTGGAGCTGAATTTCAGGAGTCCATGGTGCGTCTTTGCTTGTTTTTATTGAATAAAGCTGCAGTTTCGTTCCGTCTGCTTTCTTAAGAAGGAGCCAATTAGTTCGCCAATATTTAATGAGTTTCTTGTCCATAAATATGTTACAGCTTTATGACAGTCACCGAGTTCATCAACATTAAGCTTGGGTATATAGTTGTGGTTGATTTTTTTGCCGTTAAATGTGTTTAATTGGATGTATAAACATGCCCTTACAGGAATATGGTTACAACCGGATCAATTCTAATGAAACCGCTGCTTCCCCTGTTGGTCAATGCTTCCCAGGAATAATGGATTATCAGCAAGCTGGTGCAAGACAGTTCCCCATTGAAAGAAAATGGGCTCTTGGCCTCCAGGTTGGTTTGCTGCCTCATGCAAATAACTAACTTTGCTCTCTCTTTTATTTTTCGTTTAAATAAGCTAATCGTTGGACAGTCATATGACCCTGCTCCTCTACCTTCTCTTACCCCCCTAGACCGAAGCCCTGGGGGCTGGACATTCATACTTATTGATCAAAGAAATATGCAAATGGATATTTATGTTAACATGTGAGTGGAGGGAAGGGCCAAGTACGAGACCTTTGTTGTTATTTTTATGATGGAAATTGAAGTACTGATAATCATTGAAAACTTCCGTGATCCTATTTTGTATTCAATCTGATTAACTTTGAAAACATCTTGTCAATTCCATGTATAATAAGTATAGGCTCATGCACGTACAGCCTCTGTTAATTTGATGGGTTCTCTTGTGAAATTTTCTAGACAATTTGCTTCTAAATTCTGTTCAACAGTATGCTATACATAATAAACGCCTTTTTGTTTTTTTTGCTACAGTCTCGAGCGCATCCACGTGAAATAATGACTGAAGTTCTGAAAGCTCTGCAAGAACTGAATGTATGTTGGAAAAAGATTGGTCAGTATAACATGAAATGTCGATGGGTTCCTAGCGTACCTGGTCATCATGACGGCATGGGTGTTAATTCCATGCACGGGAATCAGTTCTTTGGAGATGATTCATCCATCATTGAGAATGATGGGGACACAAAATTAACAAATGTGGTCAAGTTTGAAGTTCAGGTAATGAAAAATTTCATGGATCATACATCTAGTTTCTGTCTAACTTTTTCATACAGGAGTACATGAATGTTGCTTTGGCCTTGAGATAGAGTTTAGAGGGCACACTTGTATATCATGAAAATAAGAAAAGCTTTAGTAACATGGTCAATCTTAATGACATGAACAAAGAATTGGGTGAGAAAGTAGTTTGCACTAGCAGTAATGAAGTATGTTGCACATAATTGGTGGAAGTCTCACTTGTATGCCTGTATTCTTTCTAAGTGGATGTCTATATCTATTTTATCATATATAGGGGCAGGATTTCAGCAACTATTAATCTGTATGTATCCCAAATTTGTAGCTTGCTTGTTCTTGATGCTTGCCAATGTGTTTTAGATGCAAATCTTTGGAAAATTACTTTAGGTTGGTTTCAACATTTGAATGCATATGAATTGGTCCTTGTTTAATCTGAAGAAGATAAAGTGTTACTTCTTTGGTGGTTTCATCACTTCTGTCCAAAACCTTAGTAGACAAAGTTACCCGATATTTGTGTTGGTAAGAGGTAGTAAGTACCTGTTGGAATTAGCCGAGGTGCACACAAATTGGCCTGAATAGGACAGACTAATGAAAAAAATATTCCTAATTGGTCCGTCTTTCAGAAAGCAATAGAATTTCTCTGTTCTTTGGATCTGCTGTTTTTGTGAGTCTTGCACAGCTTGTATGGTTCTGAAATTTTATTTGATGTTTGTGTTCTTTTCGTGCAGCTTTACAAAACCAGGGAGGAGAAGTACTTACTTGACCTTCAGAGGCTTCAGGGTCCACAGTTCCTCTTCCTGGATCTCTGTGCTGCTTTTCTTGCTCAGCTTCGAGTACTTTGAAGTCTCTGAAATAAGGAGCTAAGTTGGAAAGCTCGTGCTTGTATATAATTGGTATACCAGCTCAGTTACTGCTTTTTGTTTTGTTAACAAATTTCACCCTGCTTGGTCAGAGGTGCCTAGCAACTTTTTTTTTGTTGATTCGCTAGGAGATCTAGCTCACTCTCTTTTTTAATGTTTCTTTTAAACGTTGTCAGTGTCTATGGAATTTCAGTTACCTACAGTTTCTACTTACAGATTGAACTGCAAGATGCGCGCGAGGTCTCTCTTTGACCCATTTACTGTTAGGATCTAATTTACTTCCCTCCCCCTCTTCTCCATTTGGAGTCCTACATGGATTTTCTTGTGTCAATTTGTTTCCTTTCTCTTAACTTGTTTGGAAACTTTGGACAATGAATTGACATTAATGTTTGTCTACTATATTTAAAAAGTCCCAACATAACATACAAATTGACACAAATTTTAAATGTACAAATGATTCTGTCAACATTTTCAACTAACGAAGCATATTGGTGGGAGATCAATAGAGCTCCAGAGGGAGAATTCACTGTCATAAGCACTCTCCATCGACGAAAATGCTACTTCTCCCGATGAATTCTCTTCATCCTTCTTCTCAGTCATTCCAACGTTGCATTCTTCATTTGCCCTCTCCTTGTCGAGGTTCCTTTTGCATGCATTTTGAAGCCTGGATAATTGGTCAGACCGCGTTAGGCCTCCAGATTTCATCTTCAACTTTAAACATTCTGTGATCCCATTGAAAGCATAAAGAGAAGCTGAAAACTTCCTCTCGTAATTCATCCTCCTCATTGCCTCACTTACCATTGATGTTTCTTCCCCAAAATCCATCCCCTGTTCCATTGTCTCCACCATTGATAGCTCTTCAGCTAAATCAAATGGTGAATAGTTACACGATCCAATTTCGTTGAGAAATTGGAAGCCAATGTTTGACTCTATTATATCTTCAACATCAGTATTAATTGCCTCTTCTATCTCTATAATCTCCGCGCTCAATCTCTCATAGTTATTCACAGGATGAAAATTCAATTCCTGATTATAGCCATATTGAACTATGCTTGTTAATTCTCTTGTAATTGCACTTATATTAGCAATCGCGTTGTTATCAGTTACATTGTCTTCAGGGTAATTGAGATAATCAGTATACGACAAATCTGAAAAATCAGCTACTGTGCTTCCAATTTTTTCTTGTTGCTTCTGCTGATGATGACCAATTTCAGCCAGAGAGGTAGAACTGGACGAATCGTCATCATTAGCAGCAGCAGCAGCTACGGATTTATTTCGTTCTCTGAGTCTGCTGAGAAGAAGTTTAGTGATTTTCGGAGGCAGAGCTGAAGTTGAAGGAGAAGAAGAAGGCCAGAAATTCGTGCGAGTATTGGCTCCACGAAGCAAACAAGCAGCTTCATCATAAGCCCTTGCTGCTTCTTCAGCAGTGTCAAAAGTCCCAAGCCATACTCTTATTTTCTGTATGGTGTCTTTTATTTCAGCAACCCATCTCCCTGATGGCCTCTGTCTAACTCCAACAAATTTCTTTCGAGCTCCGTTTAGGATGGCTGCAGCATCATGAATTTTCGTTAGTCCTTCAGCTTTTCTCTTCCTAGCCATTGTTTTTTGTGTGTATTCGATGTGCTTCTCTCCCTGGGAGAGCGAATGGGATTAGATACCTTATTGGTCCTAATCGTAAAAAATGGATATTAGGAATTGTGCGTAATAAACAAGAATGGATAGTTAGTAGTTTTTATACACAAGAAAATTGAGATGTCAATTTCATATTTTTATATGAACGGGCAAGGAATATCCTGTCAAATGGCAAATTATTAGAGTTGAAAGGTGCTTTTCCTGTTTGTTAAGACGCATTTGTTTTATTGCTTTGGCTTTGTTATAGCAACATATGGAGGACTATATTTTAGTATATACTACTAAAAATAAGAAACAAAAGGGATATACTGTTATTTAATAGATGGTTTGACCCAGCAAAAGAGTTTTTTTTTTTTTAATTTCGAGAAAAGAGTTAATTTATAGAACAAAAATCAGTGGCTGTGGCCTGACTTGGTCACTAGAATAAGTCCACTTGTTATTCAGTATGAAATGATTAATTCAGATTATGTCACTTGTCGATCAGTTCGATACATATTTGGTAACCTTTTCCCCTCCAGAAATTACACGAATGATCTTGATGATGAGTGATTTTGAACTTTTAACCTTGCTTACCTCATAGGTAAATCTTCAATATCAAAAGTTAAAACTATTAAACTTGAAATTTTACGCATAGAAAACGAAATCAAATGTTTAAAACTATCCACTTGTCTTTCTTGAAAATTTCTTTTATAAAAGATACTTATTTGCTTTATTTTTTGCTTTAGGCGATTATTATTTTACTTGTGTTTAAGTATTTAAAACTTTTAGCTCATAGTTACTTTTCAACATGATCACAATCTGCACAACTATATGCTGAGTGCCAATTAAATAGACTATCCATATTTTTTTGCATATATGCGTTGTGTTTGTTGTGCTGTTTTTGTTTATTTAGATTCATTTCGAAGTTTCCCATTTGATATGGGATGCCATGTGGAGTTGTTGATTGCTTCATCAACTATAAGAAGATGTCAACGAGGGCACTCTAGCCACCCTCCAAATGGAAGATATTGATTTGTGAACACACTAAATTAATAATCAAACTAATAAGATATTTATTATCGATTTTTGGTCCTCAAAGGTTTGATATTCGATGTAATCGATAAGTGTAGAAGTGTAACACAATTTTTTACATTTATTTCTTTTGTTTAAGATATAATTGTCCAAATTCCTTCAAAAGAACTCATACAATAAATTGCAGAAACAATAGTAATTGTAAGTCTTTTGTCACAATCAAATCTAAAAGAGAGAAGATAATACTAGTTTGCCGAGAAGAGAGAAGATATCACTTTAGAGCGACTAGTTTGTGTTGCAAACGATCGAAAGTAATATGAAAATTTAGATGATAGGGTTGGTAAAATGTTATTTTTCGCATATAGCCACTCAAAAATAACTTAATTATGCTCCATAACTATAGTTTGCTAATTACGATTCATAGCTATATGTTAGAGAGAGGAGAGAGGCGAGCAAGAGAGGGCAAAGAGTGGAGAGAGACAAATTATATAGTATATCTGTCGAATTGTATATGCATATATGTCAAATAATTGTATATATGTAACTAGTATATATATGTATTTGTGTATCTAGCGAGCGAGATTGGGAGAGGGAGGAGAGAGGCGAGCGAGAGAGGGAAAAAAGTGGAGAGAGACGAAATGTATATGTATATCTGCCATATAATTGTATATATGTAACTGATATACATATCTATTTGTATATCTGGCGAGCGAGATTGGAGAGGGAGGACAGAGGCAAGCGAGAGAGGACTGAGAGTGGAGAGAGACTAATTGTATTTGTATATCTGTCATATAATTATATGTATATATGTATAATTTGTATTTGTATATATATAAGTGACGTAATTATAGCTAAAATTATGTTGCGAGCCGTAATTAATTCAAACTATAACCATGTTAGCTAATTAACTAGTATATGTATGTTTATCCACGTAATTTTCCCTTATATTGTTAGGGTAAAACATTAATAATATAATCTTATTGGATTATAGCTTTAACAATCATAAAATTGAAAATGAACCCATAACTCACAAATCCATTAACCTAATAACTCAATAACAATAAATCAATAATTCAATTATTATTATTTAAACATCGAAAATGTAAATAAAAAAGAGAGAATAATAATGAAAACAAAAAATATTGATTTCTAACCCGTTGTTTAAAGATTGACAAAGAAGGCCCCTCCAAAATCAACTGCAAAAAAAATCAACTGCAAAAAAAATCAACTGCAAGGACCCTATTACGAGCAGCTTTCAATATTGTGTATAAGGTAAATTTCACTTTCTTCTGGATCCTATGAATATATAATCACAAAAGTTGAATTCCATACTCCATACTGATCTTCAGCTATTTTTTTTTTTTCATTTCTGTATTATGTCTCTGATTGTTGATTTAGATCCGGCATTTCGAATTTGTTGCTATGATTTTCGTTTCGTTTCTGAATTTTCTCGCGCAATAACCAGTGATGTGACATCGTGAGACAATTTATATAATAATATGCTTTTGAAAATCTCAAAGGCGATTTGAATTTTATTGGTTATGTAAAGATCATTTTTTGTGATCTTTTATATGCCATAACCTAAACCCCTGGGTTGGTTTCATGGTGGTGTAGGTAGGTTTAAAGGTTGATTTGAAATGCGGTTGTTCTGAATTTCGAGTCATTTGTTTGCCTTTTTCTGTTATTTGTGCTTTTGGGATGAGATTATTTGTTTCAGGAGGTTGGGGTTCTTGTGATGGTAACTAAATTGTACAAATCAATATATCTCAATTACAATCTTGTTGCACTCAGTTATACAATCCTTTTTTTTTCCGCGGGAAACCTCCCATCAACATCAGGTACCGGGTGAGTCTATCCATCAAGTCTAGAACAAATGGGAGAAATCACCTAGTGTTTTGTCTAGGCAGGGATTTGAACCTGAGACCTCATGGTGTTCAACACACTTCATTGACCACTAGGTCACACCCGTGGGTGCCAGTCAGTTGTACAAATTCTATATTCATTTTGTTCAAATGGTGCTCATTTAAGACGTATTAGGGGTTCTCTTTGATCTATTTAGGTGAGAAGTTCTGTATTGATTGCAAAATGCTGAAAGGCAAAGCTTAATCTTAATATTTCTAAGGATGCAATGATCTATGGGTGGACAAAGCTTTTTTAACATCTTGACAGAATGATCTAGCAAATGAATACAATATAGTAGTCGTGGTTGTGCTCCTTTTTACTTATCTTGTTTTTCCGTTGTTGCGATAAAGAAAGATTTTTTTTAATCAGGAAGAAAGATGAGCATTTAAGAGAGAGAGAGAGAGAAAGAGAAGAGTGATTTTAACATTTGAAAGTGTCAGAGACTTGGACATTTGGATGCCTAGAAGAGTACTTGGAGTAGAGTTGAATTCTAATAGAATATTCAAGGTGGAGAAGAACTATCAATAATTCAGGAAATTGTAAGTTTATTCACTTACCAACGTTACCAAATTACTGAAAACCATTTAGTAGCCTTTTAAAACAAAAATTGTTAACTACTGCCCATATCTCTTTCTTTTTTATTGGCAAAAACAAAAGATAATTTACAGAGCTGTTCCTTCAAAAGCAAATGGTTCTAGTCATCTCACTCAGTTTTCTGATCTCTTTCTTTTGAAGGAATTAGGTGCTTCATCTACTAGCTATACTTGGTTGTGCATTTTGCCCTTAAAAAGGCACTTCATAATTACCTTGGTTAGGATATGTCTTATTTTTTATTGTCTTCTTTATGGCACTACACTCTTCTTCAGTTCTTCTAACAACTCTTAGCCTTTTAATCTTTTAACGATATCTCAGTCGTTTGTCACCGTGAATGAAATGTAGCTAGTTGATTTTTGGTATCTCACTAACTGTTTTACTTGCCTTTATCTACTTATAAGGGTTGGCTGTCTTATATTAAACCAATTTGTTGATGCTCAGGAGATGATTTAGCAAGATGCTGCTTGATTCGTTCTGTAGCCTTTCAATTCTTTTACAATTCAAGTGAACTAAATTAAAAGTTTAATCAAGATGGGGTGCCTTAATCAGCAGAGTGAAGTCAATACTCCATTTTCAGAACCCAAGGATTGCACTGTAAAGCCTTCCAAAGGTGCCTTAGCATGTATGGTAAATTCAGAAATTGGTGCTGTTTTGGCTGTTATGAGGAGAAATGTAAGGTGGGGGTTCCGCTATGCTGCTGCTGATGATCAGCTAGAGCATCCTCTCATCCATTCTTTCAAGGAATTACGGAGAAGTATCTTCTCATGGCAACATCACTGGAACAGAGTTGATCCACTCCTATATCTTCAGCCTTTCTTGGATGTGATTCAATCTGATGAAACTGGTGCACCAATAACCGGTGTTGCATTGTCTTCTGTTTACAAATTCTTAACCCTTGAAATAATTGATTCATCTATCATGAATGTGGAGAAAGCTTTACATCAGATAGTTGAGACCGTGACAAGTTGCCGCTTTGAAGTGACTGATCCTGCCTCCGAGGAAGTGGTGCTTATGAAGATACTTCAGGTTCTTTTGGCTTGCATGAAAAGTAAGGCATCAGCAAATTTAAGTAATCATCACGTGTGCAACATTGTAAACACTTGCTTTCGGCTTGTTCATCAAGCTAGTGCCAAAAGTGAACTGCTGCAGAGAATAGCTAGACACACAATGCATGAATTGGTGAGACATATTTTCTCTCACCTGCCTAACATTGTCAGCAAAATGCATGAATTTGATCAGCAAAGCAGATTGTGTGCTGACTCAGAGGTAATTGGGACTCTCGATTTATATTGTTACATTTACTTTTATGATCTTTTTTATGTTTCTTTTGAATGAGATCATAGCTGCATGTGCTAGTGATTCTTGGCAAGAAATGACTTGTTAAATGCTCAGTTGAAATTGAAAAATAAATATTAGAATTGAAAATTGGCCTTTTGAGTTGTGCCTATGGTGATCCTTAT